CTCTACTCTGCCCTGGTGAGGCCACATCTGGAATATTGTGTCCAGTTCTGGGCCCCTCAGCTCAAGAGAGACAGGGAACTGCTGGAGAGAGTCCAGCGCAGAGACACAGAGATGCTGAAGGGAGTGGAACATCTCCCTTATGAGGAAAGGCTGAAGGAGCTGAGTCTCTTTAGCTTGGAGAAGAGGAGGCTGAGGGGTGACCTCATAAATGTTTATGAGGGGGAGTTTATCAAGGGGGAGTGTCAGGAGGACGGAGCCAGGCTCTTTTCAGCGACATCCAGTGACAGGACAATGGGCAATGGGTACAAGCTGGAACACAGGAGATTCCACAAAAACATTAGGAAGAACTTTTTCACTGTGAGGGTGACAGAGCACTGGCACAGGCTGCCCAGGGAGGTTGTGGAGTCTCCTTCTCTGGAGACATTCAAAACCCGCCTGGACGCGTTCCTGTGTGACCTACTGTAGGTGATCCTGCTCTGGCAGGGGGACTGGACTAGGTGATCTTTTGAGGTCCCTTCCAACCTCTGACATTCTGTGTGATTCTGTGTGTGTGTGCGTCAGGAGATGTTGAATGAGTCTCAGGGATGTCATAACCTTGTTCATAAGTGGTGTTTTAAACTAGTGTCAGAGGGATTAGTGCTGAAGGTGCTTAGTATCTCCTAGCTTGCTCTGACTTAAAGTATCTGGCACCCATCAGGATAAAGCCTGAAGGAAACAACATCTCTGCTGATTTGTCCTGGGAATTGCTTGAATAACATTACTAAATATTTAGTAAGTAAAATAAAGAAACATGGCCTCAAATCATTTCAGTACACGTAACTCATTCTTTTCTGCTGATATACCTTTGGACAGTAATACGCTTGTGTGGTGGGTGCTTAATGTTTGCAGGGCACACTGGGAGGTCAGCCTCCTAAAGAGGCAGGGTCTTGAGTCTTCTAGGTTGCTAGATGTGTGGGGGCACGTGGATTGGTAATTACTGATGGCATTTCTTTTGCAGAACAAGCCCTGAGAGAGATCCCCTCATTCTGCTGTCTCGAGAAAACCCAGAACTTGTTGATGCTGAGTACACTAAAAACCAAGCTTGGAAATCTGAGAAGGTTTGTGGGTGTTTTTTGTCTCCTGAGTGCAAAGGCTGGAAAGCAAAGGAGCATTACAAGATGGCTTTGACGATTGAGAAATGTCTTGTTGGAGACTTGTGGATGATCATCTAGAGTGGAGGAGGCTTGTAGTTCCCTTGATGGCCACATCTCTCTCACAGATGAAAGGAAGGAATCCCTCCAGCCTGGCAGGGCAAATGTTTTTGTGCCATCTACACTTCTTGTACAAGGATGCATGCAAAGTGAATCCCCTCCTCTTCCACTACAATGAAATTAGCCAACTCTTCCCTTTCTAGCCTTCAGCTGCTTGTGTGTTGTTGTCAGTCTTCTTAAATCTTTTTCTGTCATCTCCATTTCTTGGTCTTGTTGATAACTTGCTGATAACATTTCAGTTCCGTACTTGGTTTGCAGTCCAGCTCTCTCCAGACAGTCTTGGCTGATCCAGTTAGACTTGGCTTCACAGAGTCTGTGGTCCCAAGCTGTTTTCCACTCTGTAGCTGCCAGCTTAACATTATCGTTTAATGTGTTTGTGCTGGCATTTGCTTACAGACTGTGTGTAATTTACTGAACTTTTTTTCTTGTTTGAAGGGCTGGGATATCTTCATACTTGTAAAAGCCCACCAGAGATTTTCTCAGAAGTGGGAATGGAGGGTTTTGAGACTTCAGCTTTGTTTCTAACTGAGAAGGAAAACAAATATAAAATCATCATATAAAGTTTTCTGATTTTTTTACTTTTTTTTTTTTTTTAATTCTTTTTGTTTTAAGGATACCTTAGGGAAGCCTCCTGCAAAGGAAATACCTCTGGTTGATCACTGCAAATACAAGTAAGAGTTTTGATTAATAAAGCTGTTCAAGGGCTGTGGGTTATTTCTTTCCTTGCATGGTGTAAGAACTCATTTTATTTTAAGGTCTAATTCCAGCAGCTAACTCCATGCAGATAAGAAAGCTTGTGAACAGACATAAGACAGTTGAAAATTTTTGAGCTGAGCATGGCCTCTTTCAGTGTCAGCTTTCCCTTGTCAGGTCAGGAGAAATAAAGTACTTGGGAGAAAGTAAAAGTCTTAGATAACTAATAAACATGTAGATTGAAAATTTTACTTTTTTTTTTTATTCAGAAAGACTTTCTGCTGTTTTCCCTTTCTATTCCTGCACCAAGCTGTGTGTCCACAATTATTTTTTTATTCTCTTCAAAGACATAAGGAACTAAGGAATCATGTCTTCTTGTGCATACTGGGGCAAGTGTTGCCACTGGATGTAAAAGAGAGAACCTGAAATATGATCGAACAGATACAATATTGATTCATACTTTGTATGTTTTTTGGGAGAATGTGAGTTTGATTTACAAAGTTGTAGGGTTTTGTTGTTTTTTTAAAAACTGCTTTAGGGAAGGGGTTTTGGTGTAATACCCACATGGATTTCTATGTAAAAATATAAACTCTTAGTGTGTATGCACCTGTATGTCTGATGTTTTGCTTTTTCTTTTGATTTAAAAGTACCTAGTTTGGATTCTGCCAGCTAGAATCTGCTGGTGGAAGAACTCAGTCATTTGGCTGGATCTATGTTTTTGTGCAAATGTGATTGACTTGTCTCATTTTATATTTCATTCAACTGTTGCCCAGATTTCTTCCTTCTGTTACACAAAGGCTTCCCATCTCTGATGCCTCCTAAGCGCCTCATACAGTGTAGGCTTGAGACACTCTGCCACACTTTTTGTTGTAGCTCAGGGTCTGAGAGGGTCAACATGAACTTTTTGTTGCTTCCTTCAGCATCAGTGCTGTAGCATGCTGCCTGAGAGCAGCGCTCTGTGACTTGGCTGAGGTCTTGGATGCAGAGAGCTGTGTCTGGCATTGGACAGAGGCATTTTCTCACTTCCAGACCACTGTTCTTGTTACACCTCTATATGTATTTGCTGAGTTCCTAATGCAGCAAGCTCCTGATTCTTGCCTTGAGCTCCTAGGTAATGCAAAATATGCAAATTAATTTCAGATTTACTTCATGTCACTTACTGCTGAGCTAAGTTTAGCTATAATTCCCATCTCACCCAAAATATATATAATACATAATCCCCATCTTGCCCAAAATAGCTTCATTAAAGGAAGAACTCCCTTCCCCTGGCCCAAAATGCTTGACTTCAAAGATTAGTTATATATACTGAGGGGTTTTACCCACAGGAAAAACAGCTTTCCATATAATTGGAGAAATGTATGTTCAAAAAAGAAAGCAAGTAAGCAAACAAACATCCCTCTGAGATACAGTCTGCTAAGAGAAATCCGCCCCCAGTCAAGACCACTTTACTAACTTGGCAGAAAATACTGAAAACAAAATTGTGGATTCTTTGTTATCTGCAAAGTCCATCTGTTGTGTGCTAGCCTATTTAACCTCCTAGGGTTGCATTCCCCAGTTAATATGAAACAATTAAATTCAGATTAAAGCAGAGTCCCAGAGGGGAAAAAAACACCAAAAAACCCCCAAATGAAAACAAAAAAACCCAAACAAATAATGTGGCAAAGCAGAACAATGGACAGAAGAGCTCACTGCAAGACAGGAGAGAACTGGGGAAAGGCTTCTCATGGTAACAGAGGCTCTGAAATGTAGAGTCACAGGATCGGCATCCACGTTGTGGCCTCCCAGGCCTTGTTGGCAGTTGTCCATGAGGCCTCCTTCCATTTCGTCACAGGCAGGTGTCTTTATCAGAGGTAAGGCCTCGTGCCTTGATTTTTCTCCCTTAATTGTGACAGACAGGGGACACATCCTTATGACCTGACACATGCTTGACTTCAGCTCACCTTTCCTTTGAGGAGCTTCAAATAAATATCTTCCATTTGTTTTAGCGACTGGTGCGTAGCTCAGCATGAGGAGGACACCCTTGCCAGCTGCTGGCTGTGAGGGAAGGCTGACTGCCATTTGGAGCTTGGTTTCTTAGTGTGTTTCCTCACAAAATGCCAAGTGTAATTGGTTCTCTCTCTTTGCTTATGCTTTTAAAGGTACCTGTTTAATTTCCGGGGAGTGGCTGCCAGTTTTCGCTTGAAACACCTTTTCTTATGTGGTTCGCTCGTCTTTCATGTTGGAGAAGAGTGGTTGGAGTTCTTCTACCCCCAGCTGAAACCTTGGGTCCACTACATCCCGGTCCGATCAGACCTCTCTGATGTCAGGTGCGAGACCCCAGGCATGCTCAGCGGAGCCTTGCGTGCCATGGGAAACGTGTTTGGGAAGGCAATTCAGTTGGTGTTAGGCTAAGAAGTGCCTCCATGCTTAGGCATCTCCTGGACAGAGGCTCTTGGAGATCATGTTCTTCTCCTTATTACTGCACCTCAAGAATCCTTTGCTCGTATGACTTAGTACAGTTTCACTGGAGTGTGAAGGTCTATCATTCTGGCTTGATATCAGCAGTACTAGGTGCTTAAATTTGCAAGTGGGCCCTGCAGTAAAGATAAGGGGGAAGAAGACCAAAAATGTATTAGCTCCCAGATTGCAGCGTGCTGCCCGGAACAGAGAGGGAACAAGTGAGAGAGGCAAGTTTCTTCCATGCTCTGAAATGAGGAGCATCAGTCCCTCACTCAGTTGCAGATCCTTAATATCGGCCTGCGCAACAGTTTAGCTAAGGGACAGTGTTCTCTGTTGAGCTAATTGTTTCACAGAGTTTTTTTTGGTCTTTGTTTCAGGGAGCTCTTTCAATTTGTAAAGGAAAACGATGCCGTAGCACAAGAAATCGCAGAGAGGTAAGTTGCATGTCCTTTCTGGCTGACAGGCAATCTTATTCCAAAGCATTTTCTTGTGCAGCATTTGAAGGAGTTGCCTGTCAGAGATAGCCTGGTATTGATAGGGTGTGGTATAACCGATGTTCTGCCATAGTAGCAGGAGGGTTGGAGAGCTCTTAACAAGCAGGGGGAACCGCAGAACAAGATTATATGCTCAGGTCTGTGGTTCAGATTTGACCCATGTTGGGAACCTTACTGAAAGCTATGAGAAGTTGGGAGCTTTTGATTCAGGGTAGGGTGCGTTGACCCTATGGAACTGCGTCTGCATTGTAAGCGTTACGCACCCGAGCTGGCGGTGCCTGGCTTCTGAAGCATCATGCATTGATGCTGCTTGTGCTGTATCCAGTATGTGAAATCTGACGTTTATTATCCCAGATAACAAATACCATCTTGAGGATAACAAAAGCACTGCAGCTTGTCAGAGCTGTGACCGGGAATCAACATTGTGAAATTAAAATAGACGGTACGGAGCAGCACATGTTGTTTCTCATTCGAAACACAGAAGAGTGAAAGTTGATATACATATAAAACAAAACCAAAGACTCCTGTAGGAGCTGGAAATTGGTTCTGACTGTGCCTTGTGTGTCTCCAGGGGACGCCAATTCATCACCGAGCACTTGCAGATGGAGGATGTCTCTTGCTACTGGGAGCATCTGCTGTCTGAATATTCCCAAGCCTTGACTTACAAAGTGAAAAGGAGGAAGAGCTACAGTGAGATCACTTCTGAACGGCTGAAAACGGAACTGTAGAGACTTCTCTTGTTTTTTTCTCTTAGGCTCAAACTGATCTCTGTGGAAATCTGAAGATCAGTGTATCTCCTTTCTTGTTCTCTCAGACGACTTATCCTTTTTGCTAGAGCTACAGGGAACAGGAATAGGCTGACTTTGAAATTGCTCCCATACCGTAGGACCCAGTTATACCATCACCCTAAGAACGTTAAGTAGAATGTTGGATTGTGGCTGTTTAATGGGGTAGTTATTGTCACGCTTGGAAGAGGGCTGTTAGCATTTGGGTGAGACTTAGTGGCTGCTTGTCTCAGAAGAATCCTAAATCCTAATTCAGTGAGAAGCCTTTCTGTTAATTTTGCAGGACTCTTTACCAAGTCCTCTGTACTCATGGGCAGGGTACACAGACTGTCAGCTGCACTCAGGTGGGAGATGCCGGCCTCTTTTTTTGGCAAATGGTTAATGTTTTCACACGTGTGCGATAGCACTTGGGATATTAGGTGTACTCTGACAGGGGCAGGTACTGGGATTTGGTGTTATGTTTTTAGATAGCTAAGAGCTTATGTTTATGTTAGGTTTGAGAGGTTGATGGTAAGGCTGCGATGTGCTGTTGAAAGGACAAACGATCCTTCCACAGTTAAACTACCTACCTCATAGCGAAGTGGCTGGTACTATGATGTTGCTGCAGCGCTAAGCCTGCGTAGCAGACAGTCAAGCCCTTGGCAACTGCGATGAAGATGGTTCATCCTCCAAGAGATGAGCTGGGTGCCCATGCAGCCACACAGAACTGAGTCCCTGTTAACAAACTCTCACTGGTCAGCTGGCCAGACATCCTGAAGAGCCCAGAGAAAGTGTGCAGAGGTAGATTCAGCTCTTCTTTGTTCCAGATGTTCACAGATTCTGTGCTCTGATACACTTCTGTAATCTTTCTAGGGGTATTTTGGGGGTGTTTTTTTGTTGTTTTGGGGTTATTTTTCGATTTTGGGGGGTTTTTTTTGAGGCTGGTGTCATGTCTGCTTACTTCAGTATTTGCTTTTCTTTTCCACAGCCTTTATGCTCCTTTTGTCATCACTTTCTGGTGGAGGGGATATCTTCAGCCACACAGTGGCAGCTAGTCCTTGTGTTACTTATTTTGAGTTCATTCACAGGTTACTTGCACTCGCTATATTTATGCCCAACACGGTTCTGCTCAGCCCAGAGGGAGCACAGTTTCTGGAATGCTCTGTGGCCCCTGAGTTGAGAGACCTGGTAGGAAGCAGCATCTTCTCTGGCATCCAGAGAGGAGCTCAGGAGAGCATGGGCGGTGGCATGGGATCCCAGAGGAGCACCCCCTTTGATAATAAAGCAGCCTCACGGCTTAGGAAGCGGCACATTATCAGAGGAGAATGCTGCCAACAGCTTGTGGTCTCTCCTGCATCAGTTTGGACCAGAGAAGAAGAGACTGTAAGGAACTGTAACACTGAGTGCCCCTGCACTTCGGAGGCACGTGCTCACACAGAGCCCTCACTGCCGTCAAGTGCCAGTGGCTGGAGCAGCAGCAGCAGTGCCTGGGTTATCCTGGCCTGCAAAGGAGACAAACTGGGGTAGGAAAACAGGCTGGTTTCTGAGGAAAAGAACTGTATGAGAGTGGAAGGGAGTTTTCTGGTTTCGTGTTTTAGACAAGGGAGAGATAGCACTCTGAGAAACCAGAACAGTGATTATAGTATTTTTAAACCATTTTTAATGAAGTACTTTGGGAATAAAACAAACAAACAAACCCACAAAGTTTTGTTGGATGTGTCATTGTCAAGTTGGAATTGGTGAGACCTCACCTGGAGTACTGTGTCCAGCTGTGGAGCCCTCAACACAAGAAGTACATGGACTTGTTGGAGCAGGTCAAGAGGAGGGCCACGAAAATGATTATGGACCGGAGCACCTCTCCTACGAGGACAGGCTGAGAGTTGTGGTGGTTCTGGGGAAACCTCCAGTACCTGAAGGGGGCCTACAGGAAAGCTGAAGGACTGTTTACAAGGGCATGTAGTGACAGGACAAGGGACAATGGTTTCAAACTAGAGCAGGGTAGATTTAGACTGGTTATGAGGAAGAAGTTCTTTGCTGTGAGGGTGGTGAAATATGGGCACAGGTTGCCCAGAGAGGTGGTGGAGGCTCCATCCCTGGAGACATTCAAGGTCAGGCTGGATGGGGCTCTGAGCAACCTGATCTAGTTACAGATGTCCCTGCTCACTGCAGGGGGTTGGACTAGATGACCTTCAAAGGTCCCTTCCAACCCAACGCATTCTATGATTCTATGACAAAAAGATCTGGATAGCTGTATTTAGAGGTGTGTCTGCTTCCAGTCCTGGGTCTCAGGGACTGGCAACTTCCCCATGTCAATCGCGTGCATCAACTGGGGACTTCTCAGTCCGATTCCTTTATATATTTTTTCAGTGAGAAATCCAGTTTTTAAGTGCTGAACCAGCCCTCCTCTGTAGAGGACAAGACTCCGCCCTCTATC